ATATTTTCCTTCCCCATATTATAACCTACTTATATACCTATATAAAATATCATGCCTAGTTAGGTCTGATTGTTTAGAAAAAGTAGTCTCCTTCTTATGCAGAAATAGTAATTTTCGTAACAAGTGCGGAAAGTGATTCTTTCCCGCACGTGACTGCCGTTGACACGAATGAATGAATGAGTTCGGGCAAGCAGTCGAGTGCGGGAAAGACACTTTCCGCATGAGTTAGGATCAATATTTTTCCACAAGCGTAGGAAATTGATTGATTTGTTCAATTAATTATTCATTCATATAGGAACAACTAACAAGAGAACTATATTCTCTATCTACTGATTATTAGTAATAGCTATTGTGAACTTACAGTTTGACGCAATATGTATAGGTTCATTGCGGAAGCCAGCAGGCCCATAAGGTGTTTGGTCTCTAGGTTTCAGACACTCCTAGGAAATGAGCCAAAAATACTTCTTTATTAGGTATTTTCATTTCTTTATTGTTGCACCATTCAATAGAACGCGTGTATAGCTTCTCATACCTTTCTTAAGACTTCGTTGGCAATAACGCATCTGTATCAGATCCCAATAGCTGGAAGTTTTTGATCACATTGTGGCAATTTCACTCAATCGAAAATGACAGTAACGCTGTGTCTGTCACTTCGACAAATTCAACTCATTTGAGGTTTGATTGGCATGACAACAATAATCGTTTCTCATCAGATCGATCCAAATTCATAGGGGGATTTTTATAATAATCAACTTTTATTTTTCAATATTATTTCTTAATTTTCACAATAAATAGTGCAATTTGATGGATGATTCTGAACAAACATACTTAATACCGCAACAAACAAACTCAAACTCTCATATTCCATCACCTATACCACTTATATTTTGCCATATCATATCTTTGTTTTTCCCGCACTAGTGCGGGAAAAAATGTTCCGCAATGTTGCGGGAAAATTACACTTCTCAAACTAAATTGCGTGCGGGTATAGGGTGAATCACGCACGCTTGTAGAAAAAAATATTTTCCTTCCTCATATTATAGCCTAATTATTTACCTATATAAAATGCCGAGTAAGGTCAGATTGTTTAGAAAAAGTAGTCTCATTGTTATGCAGAAAGGATATTTTTCTTCCGCATAAATTGTTCAGAAAAAGTAGTCTTCTTCTTATGCAGGAAGGATATTTTCCTTCTTCAAATTATAACCTATTTAAATACCTATATAATATATTATTTACTGAGCCCTTCACAAAACGATTTACCTGCGACCGAATTAACCTTCGCAGTTTCCAGGTAAAACAAAGTTTGGGACCGGATTTACACCTTATTTCTCGCCTAATAATTCTTCGGACTTAATTTACATATACCCCTTGCAAGTTCGACAGCCGTCTTGTTCTGTGGGATTAGCAATGAAAGTAGTAGTTCTGTTAGATATTTCGACAATGATTCTCTTATTAATCGAAAAACTCATTCCTAATCATGAAGTAATTAGGACGATGAGAGACAGTGATTATACATGAGTTGATAAATGTCTCCTAAATGAATACGGTTCCCAGAAAGGGGACTCCTGTAGATGCTATTTCTTATTATAATACAAAATTATGTAAAATAAACGTTTCTGGCTACTACACTCATGAAAACAAATTTTCCATTGAAGATGATACAGTTTTTCAATTCTGAATTCTTGAACTAAGATAATTAGTTCGATGCAAAGTTCTCGAATGTCTCTAATGTAGAACATAATTTATTCGGAATATTAATTGGTTTCATCATATACTCTCTATCCAAGTAATTTATCAATATTTAGTGGAGAAAACTACAATTCTTGAAAGACATAACTTGAAATGTCTTGTTCCAAGAAGCTATGTAAAGTATTTCTTCATTGAAGAAATGAGCTGCATATTTTTATCAGAAGAAGAGGATTTGTAATTCCATATTCTTGAATCAATCCTAACACATTCTCAAATATCCTTTCATTTTCGACGAAAATGTATCTCAAACTTTCGGATACTTTTTTAGTAGTATGCGTTAATTTGGGGAAGTGTATACCTATATAGAAAAAATATTGTATTTTCTCTTTGTATTACGATGCCTATTAAAACTCACTAATAGAGTTGCATAAGAAGTATTTAATAATGCGGCCCTTCAAAAAGCGGCCTGTTTGAGGCACTTGCAGGTTGGACACTGGACAGCCCTACCACTTGTTTTGTGGGATTTGCTATAAAAGTAGTAGTTTTCTCAACTTTGATAGAAGTCCATATTGCTTAAACTATGGAGTGAAATTTCTCAAAGGACGAAAGGAATGCTCGAAGTCATCTCCACAAATTTCAATGGTGTTGTTACACAATCATAAGGGACATGTTTCGGTCTTATAAAAGACCATCTTCAGCCGAATTGAAAGTTCTACAATACAGAAAGGTTGATGTGCAAGAATTGAATAATTTGTTCATGACTTACTTGGAGTTGAAACATTTGATGCTACTATAGTTGTGGAGTAGAGAGTAGAGAGTAGAGTTCTCATTTTCGACTATGGGCATTTTTCAAGTGTATATTTTTACAATCCGCTGAAAACAATGAAAAATCCCACTAGCCTGGCAGAACATTGCAAGTCATCACTCCATACTTTCGACTTCAATTCTGTTAGTATTATGGGACAACAGACAATATTGAAAAAAAGACCCTTGAACGAAATGATTGAAATAACAAAACATGGAACAAAATGTGTTAACAAAAGATCGGATATTGAGAATTTACACACCTCATATTTCAATTTAATTAAAAAAATCAAACAATAATTCCGAATCATCAGCAGGCTACTTTTTCCAATCCTGATTATTATCTCTTTCACGAGCATTTTTTGCAATAGAAAGAAACGATTCAACGACAGTTCAGTTTGTTAATTCCTTCATGTTCGTTTCTGTGTTAAGCTCTTTCATGAACCGTGTACAGGGTGATTCACCATAAATGTCCCCCCCTCTAGCTCACTTATTTTTGAACCGATTCAAAAATTTGAAAAATCATCTACAATGATTTTTCAGAAATTTTTTCCCCGTTGTATCAGAAAATACAGGGTGCTCGGACCAAACGATCTACAAAGTACTACTTGATTTTTTCAAACGGAACACCCTGTATTTCATTGTATTTTTAGATTCTCCCTGAAGAGCTGATTCCATCAATGTATCACACTTGGGGTCTAGCGGGAATGATGACAGAGATATAGGGTGTTCAAAATCGAGATTTTTCAACTTAAGGATTTTTCTGTGACGAAACTATTCATTATCGGTCAAAACGGCTTTCATGTCCGTATCTCAACTTTGGATTCACTATCTACTGACATTTAATAATTGAAACAGATACAGGGTGATCAGAATTCTGAATCTTGAATCACACTGTATATATGTTCCAATTGAATGTCAGTAGATAGTACATCAAAAGTTGAGATAGGGACATTGAAGCCGTATTGACCAATAATGAATAGTTTCGACACAAAAAAATCCTAAAGTTGAAAAATCTCGATTTTCAACACCCTATATCTCTGTTATCATGACCGCTAGACCCCAAGTGTGATGCATTGATGAAATCAGCTCTCCAGGGAGAATATAAAAATACAATGAAATACAGGGTGTTTCATTAGCAAAAATCAAGTAGTACTCTGTAGATCGTTTGGTCCGAACACCCTGTATTTTCTGATGCAACGGAAAAAAAAATTCTGAAAAATCATTTTAGATGATTTTTCAAATTTTTGAATCGGTTCAAAAATAAGTGAGCTAGAGGGGGCGACATTTATGGTGAATCACCCTGTACGTATTTATACTTTATGTCGATTGTAATTATTTCACTATTCTTAAACCCGGAAAGCCACCCTAAATGTAAGTATCATATGTTGTTTTCTGTAAAGTGTGATAAGTGTTATTTTCAACGATTGTTAATTCACATAACTTATTTTGCTTTTATCAAAACCCCTCATTTTAAAATATCATGTTAATATGTATGTTCTTGTTTTTACTTCAGTGTCCTGAAGATGAAACAATAAAGTTTCGAAACGTCGACAATTTAAACAACCAACTCAACACCAGATATCATATTCAACGGTCGCCATTCTATTCAACTATCTGTTATAACTTTGCTTTATTTTGTTTTGCAAAGAATAAACTTCTAGCTTATTACGTCGTTCCTAATTCAGCACCATAGTTTTTGAGTAGATGAGCTTGACGAAAATGTGAACGTTCCAGATCCAAATTCAAATAAACCCAAAATTCATATAGTTAAACAAAACTGTTGGCGTTCTTTTCAATTTTGATCGACAGGAAAGATTCGATCATAGCGTGTGATACATCATTGTAATAAAAAATAATACTTTTCAAAGATGCAAAAATCCAATATGGCACCCATTAGAAAAAACAAAGTTGTGTGTAATAACTTTGGCATCAAAAAAGTCATGGAAAATACAATGACAAATTCAGGTTCCTAGTAAAAAAGTGCCTTATGAGTGAAACGTCTAGGTTTTTTGGTTTCCGCTTGAAAAAACAAAACGAAAATTATAAATTTTCGTTTTCTTTCAATAATTCAAAAACTAGAAATGACACATCAAATTTTCTTGCAGATAAATGTTCAGCATGAAAATGTGCAACTTTGTCCTAATTTAACCGACCTCGTATCACTCATAATAACTGATATCCCCATGGTGGCTCGAAAAACTGACACCCTGATGTATATACTTTGTATATAATAATATCGACAATCAAGTTCATTCAGAGAAGTATTTTGAACATCATAGTTTTACAATAACAGATTATAATCTTAGCCATTAACCACCAGTAGGTACCAAATCCAAGGTATAACAGACACATTTTCTGTGAAAGTCATAACCTATTAGCGATAATCCAGGGGCTTCCAAACTATTTCAACGATAATTACCTTCTAGGCGTCTTTAATGATTTTGAAATAACTCCTACTTTCGAAAGTGTATGTGCCATAAAACTGCAATTAGAATCAAGCATTTTGGGAATTATAAAACGGCGAGCAGAAAAATTAATATCACAAGTATCTTCCAACATGTCAAGCAGAACAGTTCTAGTGCTATTGGCTGTCAACGTGTTGTTGGTTCAGTCAAAACCAGCAACCCTTGAAAATGGCGCTCCTTCATCGACAGGTTCAGAGGAACAAAATCTCGACAGCTTGATCCAACGGTTGCAAATGGTATGTTCACTAGTTTATTCAAAATATTATTTATTACTAATTGGAAATAGTCCAACTATAGAATCCTGATGAGCTCCTAATATGAAGATTTGAGTCAAATCATCCAGATGAAATGTGTCTCCTGTCTGAGTTACAGGGTGATTTATTTGAAAATTTTACACCAAACATTTTCGATCAATCAAATTCAAAGCCTGTATTTTGTATCGTTACCATAGCAAGTAAACAAATTTCACGGAGCATGAAATTACACTGGACATTTTTTGGCGTTTATAGGTTAAATGACATTTACATTCAACTTCAGATTATTTCGAATTCATTCTATGGGTCAATATATAAATAAAAATCATTTATCAACAGTTTACCATATAATATATTATGTAGGTATACTTGCAAATTCGAAATTTACAAAAACACATGTTGTTACTATACGTTAGTTCTTACATTTCATCACAAACAACCATCAATATGTAAATCTTCTTACCGAATACCACTTTAGCTTCAATTAATATCCGGGATTTTTTCTCGAACACGAATATTTCGAAAAAATTTCCGGAAATAATTGAAGCTCTCGTGATATTATAAATGATTAATTAAAAAAATAATTTGTGCCTATAGTACTTCGAAACTAATTGACGTATCATTGTCACATTTGGCAGGAAGTGTAGATACAGCATATATACTAAATTATGTAGAATAAACGTTTCTGGCTACTACACTCATTAAAACAGTTTTTCCAATGAATTATCACACCTTCTTCTAAAATAATTAATTCGATGCAAAGTTTTCGAATATCTCTAATGTAGAAAATAATTTATTCGGAATATTTATTTGGTTCCATCCGGTTCCATCGTTCCATCATATACTCTCTATCCAAGTAATTCATCAATATTTAGTGAAAACTACAATTCTTGAAAGACATAACTCAAAATTTCTTGTTCCAAGAAACTATAGAAAATATTTCTTCATTGAAGAAATGAGCTATATATTGTTATCAGAAGAAGAGGATTTGTGATTCCATATTCTTGAATCCTTACGTATTTTTAAATATCCTTGCAATTTCGTCTTCAAGGTCGTGTTGCCAAACATACGAATACGTACCCATTTATAATTATTTCAACTCGGCCGAGTTTCAAAAGCTTCTCGAATGTTATTGATGATGCCTTCCATACTTATATCTATCTCTACCAACTCGAGAGTTACAATACTCATCAATTCTAAATTATGAATGTGTTTTAAAGTCTGTAGCATTCAAGATAGGTGGAAAATTTATAATAGGTACTTCAATGAATATTGATTTTTGTGTATTTCTTCACATTTGGTGCTGAAAAAAGTTCAAAAAATATAGTAGCAGGATGAGATAATACATATTGATTATAATATTTCAAGTTTGTGAGATCCGGAAGCTTATGGTCATTTTGACCTAACGGTCATTTCAATTATGGAAGTCGGCAACAATGTCCAAGTGCTGATTTCATCGAAACATCAAACTTGAGTTTAGCAGGAATGATTACAGAGATATAAGGTGTTCAAAACCGAAATTTTTCAATTTCAGGATTTTTTTGTGTCGAAACTATTAATTATCGATCAAATCAGCTTACATGTCCCTATCTCAACTTTTGATTCACTATCTACTGGAATTTAATTGAAAAAATAAAGGGTGCTTCAAGATTCAAAATTCTGATCACCCTGTATCTGTTCAAGCAATCTATACGCTTGGTCAGAGACTACTAAATAGGAAATGACAAATTCTTATATCAAGCAATCGTTTATTCCAGTATATATAAACAAGACATAATCTTGATTCATATATAGCATTAGGAGAAGAAATTCTTTTTATGTGTGTACCAGAGGCGTACGACAGGAAAAGTGACTGGTTGATCCTTCTCAAATTCTACGCCACTGGCAGAATTTTCATTTCATTACAATATTTCGATTCCTCAAAAAATACTTTCTACGTAAATATCGCTCTTTATAGTCATAAAATGACATTTGGAGGTCAATATCGGAAAAACTGTCCATTTTTTGAGGTTAGTTCAATGAATTATCTGTTCAGTATATCAAAGTCTGCAACATATCAAAAATTCAGCGATTTTCATCGAGAGCTATTTTCCCTATAGTTTATTTAGTGCGTGGTCCTTTCTGAATTTCATACAAATGAGAATTAATGAAGAAGAAATTGTATTCAACAAAGAAATATAATATGGAAATGTGTCTCATTGATTTGTTATTCTACATGGTTGCCGAAAAATTGTGTACGCAACACGACCAAAAACAGTTTTTTTGGACACGCAGACTTCCAGGACTCGCCTACGGCTCGGCCAAGAATTTTGTCTACTCGTCCAAAAAAAAAGTTTTTTCCGCACTTGTTACGTGAATTACTATTTTAAGTATTTCAGTGACTTCCATGCACTCCTCTAATAGAATCGACAATGTTTCCATCACTTGAAACTAATTTTTTTTTCGTAGAAATAATGTCACCGGAAAATGCATAGGCACTAGGCAAATCTCTGACATCATCATGATCATCTGTATCAAAAGAAAATATTGCTGAAGTCATTTAATAAAAGATGTATATGAGATCCATTCTCACGACTCAGGATTGTAAAGGGTATATATAGTTAAAAATATTCTCCAATTCAAATTTCCTCTTTTTCAAATGGAACATACCACCCCGTATATGTTTCAGGCATGTAGAATTGGAATATTCTGTATAATGATATTGAATATATTGATTTCCTCATTTTCACCAGAACACAAGAAATTTTTGGAATATCTACTTATTTCTACATTAGCATTGGAGATACAGGAAAACTAAGCATTCCTACATTTCTATCGCAATTTTGGAAGATTTCTATATGTAACGTTTCATATTAGTGGAATCATCATCAACTTTTCTAATACGGTCTCGATTAGATATGTGTTCACAGATTTTGGATGCATTTCTCATTATGAATACAATGCTGAATTATAGTATGATGCAAATGTATGGAATAAATTCATTTCAAAACAAGGCGACATTCGAAAAAAAAAAAACTAGAGTTTAGAACTTTTTTTTCGACGTATTTTTTTAACTAGACGACCCTTCGATGTTCAATTCTCAGTAGCAGACCTCTGCAAGATTCAGTTGATCACATGATAATCCATTTTAATTTCAATCTTCTTATGCAACATTTTGACTGTTGAACAGACGATCAATAGACCTTTCAATCAAGGTGTCACATAACCCCTATTTGTATTTGAAAAAATTGTCCATTACGTCATTACTCCAACACCGGTGACGTGACATCTATCATATGATTATCATGAGATGATGCTTCAGAAATCAAAACTCACGTGTTTTTGGAATTTTTTCAAATGTCGCCCATTTCTGAAATAATGAATTTATTCCATACATTTGCATCATACTGTATACAAAGTAGTTCGAACGTGTTTTGACTAAGTTATGCCGTCCTTGACGTTTTTTTCAAAATAATAATAAAATAACACCCGTTTCAGTTATTTTGCACTATGCCACATTGAAGCTTGGCAGAAACGAACTGAAACAGCCTGCATAAATAGCTAATGATTTTGTTTTTTGCAGCATCCAACATCCTCCAATGTCGTCCAAGCCCAAGCCCAAGTTTCTTCTGCTGCCGCAAACAATCAGCATGTCGCTCTCAATGAACTACTAAGAAACCAAAACTTCGTTGAGAAGCTCGTCGAGTTCTTGCAACGGTTCCAGCAAGTCTACCAAATTCTGTTGAACGGACAACCTGGATCCCAGGTGAGGCTAGAAATGATTGACAACGACAATACTTCATTCGTAACATACGTTTATAATATCCAAACGTTTCCTCATCTTTGTCTAGAAGTATTTTTCAGAAGAAATATGATTCCTTTTTCCAGTCTTAGAGAGTTGGTTACTTGATGGAAATCCATAGCAAATGTAAAAACTTCACAAACGATGAGATTTCCAGAAAATTCTTAGTCACATGAAATGATTCGCTAACACAGTAGCTTCGTCAGGTGAAATACTAGTAAAATGATAATACTTTTCATTGATGAAATGATGCTAACAATATATGCAAGAATTTTCTTTTGGGGCTTTTTTTAAAAAAAACTAGTTGTTTTGAAGTTATTCAATAAAAATCTGAAGGTATGATATAGAAAAATAACTTTTTTTCGACATATTTCAACTGGTGTTGAGAAAACAGTAAATGTCGTCATTAAACCTTTTATTCACCGTCAAAACGAACTCGTTACCTCAAATAGATATTGAGATACGGTCATTTGAAGATGTCACCTTTTGAAGGGTTGCAGAGGGTGAACGACGCGTATCTGTGGTGGTCAAGAGGAGGTGGGATGTTCCATATAATGAGTACTAACAGTTGAAATAAGTCGTTTGCTTTATTCATTCCAAGCCCACGAAAGTACAGTCGCATTAAAAAAAAGCGTACATGTATATTACAAAGAGAAATTAACGTCACCCTATTCTGCATAAACCGGGCTATCGGGAATGATTGTTTACCAAATGTTGACAGTAAAGTTGTCATAGGTTCTCAAAAACACAGCGTTGGCTGAGCCAGTTTAACACAACAAGAACAAGGATCCCGAAATCCTTTCTTTTTGATAGTTGTACGCTATTTTATTGAATACGACTGTACATAAGCGCGTCCACTAATAAGTTGGACCCCGTATAGAAAATTGTAATCCTAATTCATTTTGTTTCCTAATTTTCAGAACGCATCGCCTATACCGAACCTACCATTGCCTACTAACTTGAACCAAGCTAGCGTGCGTGGATTATTCAACAACCCATCGTTCATGAACTTCTTGGATGGATTACTACATAACAGCCAAGGCTCCACCTTCTTCTCCCAATTCTTAGGCAATCAAGCATCGCCCGTTGCCTCACAAATCCAGCAAGTTGCACCATCCCAATCCCATGTTACCACCACTCAGTTCACATCGAGCCAACAAACCAGCTCCTCACAGAGTGGAGTCAACAACCTACCTGCCAACCCCACTTCTTCAAACAACGTTGCAACTGTTGTATCAAACACCGTAGTCAACAACGCTGCTCCATCTATTGTTGAACATCAGGAGTCTAGTAATGTTGCTTCTTCAGATCAACAGGAAGTTTTTGTCAATGGCCATTCCAGACCTGTGATCGCAGCGGTACCGCAGAACACAGCTTTCAACGCTGAATCATCTGTTGTTGTCAGTGAATCTCATACTTCTTCGAACGCAGCACCTGTTGCTGGTACAGTGGCTAATAACCCTGCTCCATCAGAATCAGCAGCAACCGGATCATTTGGAAATGAAGGAATCCAAACAGAAGAACAAGCTCCCGCTCTCGACGCTAGATTTGGAAATGCTCCCCGTGATATCAAACAGATCATCATAACTGAAGTGGACAGTGATAGCTCGACACGGCCAGTCGGTCCATCATCCCAAACCTCGAACGGTCAGAATTTCGTGGTTAGCAGCAGTAGTGGATCGTCTGATGAACAATCCGTACACTCCAACGAAGCCACATTGGATAAACTTCTTGGATTCGGTAACAATGTGGCAGCTGTAGCACCTCAAAGTGACGTAGTTAGCCACTCAAGTTCCTCCTATCATTCTGTACAATCCAGCCAGGTCAGCGGTAACGGCATACCACCAGTACAAGTGCCTTTGGTGCAAAATATTGCTACGTCCAGTAGCAATGACCAACAACAGATTCTGAACAGTCTGCAACAACAAGCTTCGAACTCTCAAACTTTTGCTAGTGGATCAAACGAAGCTGTTCACACAAGCGAAGCCCTATTGGAGGAGTTGCAGAATAACCACTTCGATGTCAAACCTGTAGTACCTGACCAATCCAGCTCTTCCTTCCACTCTGTACAATCTAGTCAATCCAGTCAATTCAATGGAAAACCACAAGTAACTGGAACTGGACCGTTTGTTGCTTCGGGAAGTCCACTGAAACCTTACCATGAAGATGAGGCAGAGAGTAGGCGCCAGGCACAAAATGCTAGATACCAATTTGCTACCCAGGTGAATGACAACATCAATGGCAACTTCCAGCAGAGAGCTGAGGTCAGAGAAGGCACCAAGGTTTACGGAAAATATTCCTACGATGATGGCTTCGTATGGCGGACAGTCTACTACCAAGCAGATGAGAACGGTTATAGAGTAACAAAGTGAGTATTTCATTTCACCTTCTTTCTCGCTGAGTTTGATTTTGTAACGGTATATTTCGAATGATCATTGGATATAAATATATTATACTTGGGTTATTCGTTTCAGGGAAGAAGTGAGTCCGACTCATATGACCAAGAGTGTAAATGGAGATGCTAATGTGCAGACATTCAGTGATGGAAACGTAGTGAACTATCACATTACTAGGAAAGATATCGGCACCAAGAAACAAACACAGTATGGTTATGGTGTTGGAAGATCACAATAGTCGAATATAATGTATATATGAATATTATGAATTCGTTTTATGAATAAATTTATATTTTTTGGAAAAACTGTCTTATCGAACTCAATTTTCACAGAATGAAAAATAAGAGGACGAATATAACTTAATGAGAAACTACAGGATGGAGCAACGTAGGTTGATTGCATATGGAGATTTTATATGCTCTCAACAATCAATAAATCTAAAAATACATAAGATGGGTACCATTTGGGTACTTCAAAACAAAATCACGAATCAGATGTTGTTCTCTTTCGAATAAAACTTGGGATTGATTGAAAATGTTGTTCTAAAATCATCTAATTCAATTAAAGTTGACCTGAAACCACCAGATCATCGAAAATATTGATTGTCAGTTGAACTTGAATTCTGATAGATAATTTTACGACAACAATATCAATCAATTTGGAGATATTTCTTCGATTCATTCAGTATTAGTTCATGAAATGTATGAATATTTTCGAAAGGCTCCAAGTGTGATATATCGACGGATTCAGCTCTTTATGAAGAGCACACAGAGTGTTCCATTTAAATTAAAAAAGTTGCTACTTTATAATAGAAGTAGAGCAACACAGCATTGTCGAAGATATTCTATAGGCGGATAGAGAATGCATGATTATCCCCGCCGACATATTCTCGAAATTATTTGTCCGTCAAACCCCTTGTATGCGATACGACTCATGTATTCTGGATATTTCATTAAACTCCTATACAGTGGAAATAAATTCTAATATATTTTTATGTAGAATGTGGATATATTCAATGGTTTCAAACGTTCAAACGTTTTTGAGAAGTGATTATTTTGATTATTGAAAAATATAATTGTGATGATTTCGAATAATGAATGAATATCTAATCCAATTGATGAATGCAATGATCAAGATAAAATATCGGATAAAGAGATATATATATATATATATTACGTAAATTCGACCAGTGAGTACATCTCCATTGGTGATACATTATCAGTCGAATGATACTTAATGAAATTATGTTCAATTATAAGAATAATTCCAATCTGGGCATATTATTTTATTGTAATTCACGACTCGATCCCTATCGGGTATAATATTCGCGTAGATTAGTGAAGAATGCAGCTGATGAAACACATCAGAAAATACGTATTAGTAGTTCTACATAGTACATTATTCAACAAGCATGTAATGAGGGCTATTATTAACAAAGGTTGAGTTTATGTCATGAGTGTAGCGACGACTACTTTATCCACGACTGTTGTATAAATTATTCATAATACAATCGAGATGTGTCCCGGCGTGTTCGCCAAAACTTTGAACCAAACAATCTCAATAATAACCTGAAATTCCGCGCCCGAGAGTCGGTAATTCATCTGATAGGGCTCCTCCTGACCCTGTAGATAATGTTGTCCACTGCTACTATTGTCTTTTGTAAAAACTTCACAAAAGATAAGATTTCCACAAAATATCATAAAACAGTTTGCAGTCAACAACGGATACAACGTTAATTTGAAAAACTTCATAATAAAGCTATTCAAGAAGTTTATGCTATCAAGAATAATAATCAAAATTATAGAACTTTAACCTATTTCGGATCGTCAACTGAAAAATTAGCTTCATTTCTACATAAACAGGACTTAAAAGTAGCACATAAAACAAATAACACGTTGGGAAGGTTTATCAAGAATAATAGACAAAACTTCTAAATTCGAAAAATCAAGGGTTATACCAACTCAACTGTGGATCTTGTCCTATAGAGTATATATCGGTCAGACAGGTCGTACGTCTAATCAGCGCATTCATGAACATAAGATGATTTTTTTGAAAACGAAAACAAATTCAACATACGCCAACCATATATTAGGAAAAAATCATAGTTTTGATGAGACTTTCGAAATTCTACACGTAGAAAATAAAGAAATGAAACTCAATCATTTTGAATCATTAATCAACAAACTCAATAATCCTGACCGAGATTCTGACATTTTACCAAACGATCAATCTAATTAGACCTCAATAGTTCACCACTGTTGAAATTGTTTTATTAGTAGGTAATAATATGTATTTGCTATGAACCCTCTCAAGTTAATCCGGTACACCGTATTTTAATGTATATACAGGGTGTTTCACAGATAAAGGGAAATATTTCAATGGTACATAGGGGTCACCAAGGTGGTTCTGAAAATACCATATTTGATAGGTCTTAGAGTCTTCATAACGGAGCTTATACTTGGAACGTTGAATTCATTCACCTATTGGGCGAAGTGAAAATCCAGGTTCGGCTTCAGGAAAAATTTACATTTATTCGAAATATTAAAATAACACACTGTATGTGATAATTGACAGAGTTCATCAAAGGAATCGTGAAGAGGAGGAGAAACTGAACTGGATTTGATGCTTTTTGTTTTCCCGCCACCAATTCTCATCGTATAACAATCATAAACAGAAAGCTTACAGTATGTCAATTTGAATAGTAACTAAGTCTCACAGTCTTTATAACAGAGATACAGGGTGAATTATCGGTTTCGAATAATTATTATCACTCGTCCATATAAGTATTAAACTACCCATCGCAGTAAGATTTTCTCAAATTTGGTATTGAGCTTACTTGGGACGATGGATTCATTGACCTATCAGGCAGAATGGAAATACAGGTTCAGCTTCAGGAAAAGTCTCATGGTCTTTATAACAGAGATACAGGGTGAATTATCGAATTATAATTATTTGGTATAATTTTCATTCCGCCTGATAGGTTAATGGATCCATCGTCCCAAGTAAGCTACATACCAAATTTGAGAAAATGTTACTGGGTATTTTAATACTTATGGACGAGTGAATGATTATTCAAAACCGATAATTCACCCTGTATCTCCGTTATAAAGACTTGTGAGACTTAGTAACTCTTTTCGAGAGATTTTTTAACTAAAATATATCGAATAATCATAATTGACACTGGTTTCATAATTTCAATACCCTTCAAATTGACATACTTTCAACTTTCTGTTTATGATTGTTACGATGAGAATTGGTGGCGGGAAAACAAAAAGCATCAAACCCAATTCAGTTTTTCCTCCTCTTCTCAATTCTTTCGATGTACTGTGTTAATTATTAGATACAGTGTGTTATTTTAATAATTCGAATAGATATAAATTTTTCCTGAAGCCAAACCTGGATTTTTACTCCACCCGATAGGTGAATGAATTCAACGTCCCAAGTTTAAGATCCTCACCAAATTTGAGAAAAATATACTGGGTAGGTCAATACATATAGACGAATGAATAATTATTCGAAATCGATAAATCGCCCTGTATCTTCGTTATAGAGACTCGAAAACCTATCAAATATGGTATTTTCAGAACCGCCTTGGTGACCCCTATCTACCATTGAAATATTTCCCTTTACCTGTGAAACACCCTGTAGATATTGTGCCTAATTTCCGACAATGAAGGTTTATCGAACCTGTCCACAGGTCACACTAATCCTTCAGGTTGGGAAAGTAGGATATAATATAAGCAGGCCAAGGTTAGTTTAGTTCATCGTACCTGACGAAGCTACTGTGATAGCGAAACATGTCGTGTGTTTGAGAATTTTGTGGAAATCTTATCGTTTGTGAAGTTTTTACATTTGTCATGGATTTTCTGGATTTTCATCAAGTAACGGCCGAGTCAATTCAAAACTATTGTCTTTGATGTATACATTTATTTTCAACAACTGTTTCATCATAACTTATTTGACATTTAGAAACGATTACGTGAGAAACAGGGGTGTTTCCATCAGAAGTGGGTCACACTGTATATATTATACCTAGAAAGTTATATAAGGCCCCGTTCTCATCCTGCCGAGGAGTTGAAAAGTAATCAAAAAGTGAGAATTGTCAACTTCGCCCTGTATCTCAAAATCATAAAGGATTGTGAAACTTCTGTACGCGGCATTATTGGTTTCACAAAAAAGTAAGGCAGTAATGTGAAAACCACAACATTATCTCCAAAGATAACTGAGATATCGCGCAAGAGCATCGAAAACTGGACACACTGTACATCTAAAGCCAAAAATAATGTTGGGAAGGAAGGAAGTGTACTTATTTGTCTGTTGAATAGTTCAGTATTGTCTTTCTACAGGGTGTTTCTTAAGTACGTGTAGAAAATCCAGGAGCATGTTGCTGACGTCAAAATAAGAAGAAAAGTTTATATAAATATATATCCGAAATTAATTCGTTTCTGAGATACAGGGTGTCAAAGTTTAATTCCTATTTTTGTTTTTTGTAAATAAATTCCAAAATGATTGTGATATCGGAATAAAATTTGGTATCTAGAGGTATTTATCAAATTTTATGTTATTATGTCTCTTTCGGGGGGGTGGCACCACCTACATGTCTTTTGGGTCTTTTGAAAAGTTATAACTTTTTTGTGCTCACCGGTATACCGTTTCATAGAGAAAAAATAGATTTCTAGAACATTTTTGTGTGAAAAATATATTCTTGGTAGAGGTCGCTGCGAGCAACTGTTTTCGAGTTATTGAGATTCGAAATGATCGATGCATTCGAATTATTTCCATGTGGCTCGTAGGTCGCCTCTAGTGAATATCAGAAAAGATACGCCAGTGCATTTTTTTTCTTTCATTCAATATTCTCCTTCATACAACATTGGAATGTAGGCAGAATATGATTCTTACTTATTTGTACCAGCATCCACCCATTTAAAAAAACTCGATGTATTGCAGAAGAAATACCTAAGAATTCTCCTCTACAAACCATTCAAATACGCATCGAAATTATTGTTTGAAGAATCTAAAATGCTTGATATGAGACAATTATTTTTTACTAAAATTGTAAACGAACAGTTCAAAAATCGAAAATCCTTAAATTATGTAGATCACACCCATAATACAAGATCCAAAGCCAATGCAGCACTCACCACAATATATTCTTCAAAGACGCTAATCCAACGTACTTACGCCTATCTAGCAAATAGACTTTATAATTACTTGCCACTAGAACTTAGGAAAGCACATA